CTCCATAGAGCAGGGCTTTGAATCCAGGCCAGGCCCAGAGGAAAGCTGACAGTTACATGGCATTTGAATGAAAAACTCACTGAACAAAATGAACAGACTATATTTGGCAAAGACCTTTATGCTTTATAATGTTTGGCTGTCACTCATGTTTCAAACTGGCAAAATCTGATGTAAGTGAAGCACTGTCCTAGGCACTTGAGGCTATTACCAGATATGAAAATAAATACAGATGAGCCTGGGGCCATTGAACTATTACAGAATTAGTCCTTTTTAAACCACATGAGCGAGGAGGAGCCATAAAGTACAGAAGATCTATAAGGCGCCCTTCTTTACCAGGTATTTCTCCCCAGTGATTCTAGGTTTTAATGCATAAAGTGTTTTATATGTATATTAAAATTGATGACTTAATTTTTAAAGCTATTTAAGGTCCTCATTAAAGATATGAGACACCTACAGAATGGTTCATTTTTATTATGACTTTATGGCCAAAGAAAGGTGAACAGGGTTACAAAGTCACTCTCACATTCTAATTCACTGCCTCATACCAGAAGCAAAGACATCAAAACCCCACTAGCTGGGGAATGTAGCTCAGTGGCACCATCCTTCCTGGTAAGCACAAGGTTCTGAGTTCCATCCCCAGTCCCGGAAAAAAACAAACAAAAAACTGCCACCTGGTTGTGTTTGGTTGCCACATGAGTAGATCTGTTAGTGCTCTCCTAGCCTTCTCTCCCGTGTACCAATTTGCCATTCTGAATGGACTGCTCCAGCCAGTATTACGTGCTTTCAGATCTATTAGCAAACGAGTTTAAGTTTGACTGTGTCATTATCCAGACGTTAATCAGGCAGCCTGTATGTTTCCATACACAGTGCTTCCAGAAGATAGAACTTATCTGAAAGAACAATGCCGACAGCGCAAGTCCCTTAGAATCTGATTGCCAGCTTGATGTGTTATTTACTGTCTGGGGGCAGTTAGGATTTCCAAGTGAATGTGCAGGGAGTACTTTTCACTATAGCTGAGCAAAGAACAACCAAAGGAGGACAAAAGACTTGGCAGCTGCATTTAATTTAGTTAGGCTGTTATTAAGGGTCTTTTGCCCATGCATGTTTACTGAGCGTCCCCTTCCAGCCAGGTTCTAGATTAAATACAGCACTAGGATTCTCCCATCGTCCTCTCCTCTCCCCTCCCAACGACTCTGGTAGCACTGTCTTTCCTTCAGTTCCCTGAATGCCCCAGATTCCTTCTGCCCCATAATCTCAAGTCCTATGTTCTCTCTACCTGGATGTGCACTCCCACACCATTTGACGAGTTTGTTTTCTACTTATACTTTTTTACTCCATTTAAATATCTCTTTATCAAACATCTTTTACTGATTGCCATGCCATCAAATTCCTCTCTTGTGCTCTTTCATCACCTTGAGCTTTGCCTTCACAGCAAAGAAAGTTTTAATGAAATAATTATTTGTCATTTGATTTGTTTCATATCCCCTGCTAGGTATAAACTTTATAAACTTCAGGAAGACAAAGGCAGGGTCACTGTACCTTATCAGTAGATTCCTGGCCACCAGATGAGGGCCTACCACTTAATAGAAGGTCAGTAAATAGTTTATACTGAAAGGATCACAAGATCAAAGCCAGCCTGGGCAACTTAGTAGACCCTGTCTCAAAATACAAAGGGCTGGAGATGTAGCTCAGTGATAGAGCAGTTGCCTAGCATGAGCAGGCCCTAGTTCAATCTGTAGCCCTGAAAAAAGAATGCAGGAAAGAAGGCAGAACATGCTGTCTATGAACTCATAATTCAGCACTATTCAATTTTTATGTAGAACCTATACTATTTTTCAGGATTAGTCCTTTTAAATTAATAAATGCTAATAAAATAACCTCCTAAGTAGGTATAAAAGAGAGAAGTTAGTGGAAGGTGGCTGATGAGGAAAAATGAATTAACTTTCAGTTAGGGCTACAGAACATCCACCTGTCAGGTAATAGGTGGTCATAAGCTCTTAATAGTTTTACTTTACAAAGATAAGACTAATGTAGTTTCCAAGCATTCTCCCATGAAGTTCTAGAGAAAGTTTGAGAACCAGTTACCAAATGAGCTTGCTGACCTGTTATTTAGCTTTCCGTCACTGTAACAAAATGCCTGAGATGATCAGCTTACAAGAGAAAAGGTTTATTTCAGCTCACCGTCTATAATTAGACCTGTTGCTTTGGGCTAGTGGTGAGGCAGCAAACCATGGTGGAAGCATGTGATGGAGCAGAACTGCTCACTTTATGGCTAGGAAGCAAAAGAAAGAGGAAGAGACCTATGTCCCGTAACCCTAGCACCCTAGGACCTCGCATTAGGCCCCACTTCTCAGTAACAGCACCCTGAGGATCCCAGTGTTCAGCACACAGGCATCCAAGCCACACCATGACTAGACTGTATTTCTAAATAACCAACCACTAGTTTTCAGCTTCTTTTATTTCAAGTCTTATTCTCCCCACGGCCTCCCTACAAGAGTAATCCATTTAGTAGTGAGACACTCCAAAGTGCAGAGGAGAGTAGCTGTACAGAAAGGCCAGGTGGCACCAAGGCAACTGGAGTCTTTTACTGTAAGATCTGACTTGTATGCCCACCGCATTCCTATAGGATTCAGGTCGGCGTTTTGTGCTCATCTCTGCTTTGTTCTCTTTTCCATAAAACATGGATTTATGTCATCGGAGATTTGCTGTCTGTCCCTTGTTAGTTACAAACTCAGGTATTTGATACATTTGAAACTTCGCAGGGCATCATATCCTGTACTGTTTATACATACCCCTAGCAAATTTCCATGATTTCCCTTATACGATTCAGAATACAATATTGTATTTTAGGTTCTTATTGACCTGCAGAATTCCCTTCTTTTAGTATAAAATCTGAGTTTACCAACACTGATACTGATGCAGAAATTATCTTTTTAATCTCACAGGAGTTTGATGTGTGTTTTAAATGTGTGTATGTGTGTGTGTGTATGAACTGATTTAGTTATTTTTCCAAATATTTTGTTTTCTGAATTCATTTGTTCAGTTACTTTGTATTGATTTTCTAATTGTGGATGAAAAGTTCAGAATGGATGGATACAGAACACCTGAAAGCTAAAACTTGTAAATCTAGTGTATTTTATTTATTTATTTTTAATCTAGTGAATTTTAAATGACTGGCGATTAGGACACTTAGAAACAATTACATTGCTGTTCAATATCTATGTTTTTAATTAAATGATTCCTTTTGCATTTCAAAATTGACATTAGGATCTAATTAGAAAAATTCCATGGCCCAGGTGCACAGAAAGCTAACATCATTTGCCTTTATGAATGTAGTGAGAGACTTACATAAGGATGGCTTCTAAGAGGTGATTGGTTGAATTTTCGTTATTAACATTTATATATATTCATATGTTTTTCTACTAGATTCTAAAAATTCAACATTAATAAAAACTCAAAAATATATACAAATTATTGTGAAGAATAAAAGAAAAATTGTGCTTAAGTTAACTACGTAAAGTTATCTTACATTTTTATATATTACCTTCAAGGCTTTTACCATTATATAAATGTTATATCTTTTTTTATATTAATAGAATTTTGTATCTATTATTTTCATTTAAATTCTTCTTTGAGCCTTTCCCAGAGTCTTAAAACACCTTCATAAATATCATTTCTTTTGGTTTTTTTACTATCCTATTCCATAAAACAAGTGCTGGAAGTTTAAAATGTTTATATTTTAGAAATTATAAATACTTGCCAGGCATGGTGGTACAAGCCTATAATCCCAGCACTTGGGAGGCTGAAGCAGGGGGATTGCTGCAAGGCCAAGCTAGGCTCTATAGTGTGTTCAAGGCCAGCATAAACTATATAGCAAGACCTTGTCTCAAACAAAAATTATAAATATTTATTTACAAAGATCTTTGAGTTTCTAAATTTAATTTTACTTTAGATAAAAAAATGAATTTACCAAGTACAATGGAATGGACATTTCTAAGGCTTTTGATAATATTGTAACATAAAATTGCTTCTAGGATATTAATGCTAATTTCTATTTATACTTGTAATGACAAGGGATAATTACAATAAAAGAGGACATACAAATAAAAGGATAAAACACACTAATAATCAAATGGGTTAAGGACACAAACAGAATATTTGCTAAAAAGAAATTAAACTATTCTCATAAATATACATGAATAAAAGTGAAATAACACACTATTTTAACTTTAATAAACTATTTTTCCTTGAAAGTATTCAAAGGCAAGATGTTAACATTAAAGCTGGGAAAGGGCATATATGAAATTACTTTTTAAAACTTTTTTGTTTGTTTGTTTGTTTGTTTTTTTGGTACCAGGCATTAAACTCAGGTCCCTGTGCTTGCAAAGCAAGTGCCAGAACCACTGAGCTAAATCCCGGGCCGGGGATATAGCTCAGTGGTTCTGCCACTTGCCTTGCACAAGTGCAAGGACCTGAGTTCAATCCCCAGTACCAAAAAACTACTTTTTTTTTAAACTATGAAGTTGTTTGAAAATAGAAAGCTAAAAACTAAATTTTACCCATTCAGTGGCTATGGCCTCTTAGATTATTTATAATGTCACCGTTTATTGATATGGTATATCCTAGAAATCTTAATTGGCATATACCTAGTTTTCTCGTCACACCTCTAGTATTGAAAGTAAATATAAAATATTTTCCGTGGATGTTCTCATTTATTTCACAGTTCTTTGAACTCACTGCATATGTTTTACACTTTGTCTCATTTAATCCTATCTACACCCTATCTATAGCCATTAGAAGTAACCAGTAAAATTACAATGCTCGTTTTATAAACATGAAAATCAAGACTTAAAGGTTGAGTAACTCATCCAAAGTCATACTCTGAAATGTTTCACTTTAATTGGTTTCATTTATAGGGTATGTCCATTTGGCAAAAATAGATTACAGTTTGGAAGTGACCATTTGTCTTTATTTCAGCTGTATATTGTGTTTTCCAACAGATGAACCCACAGACATCCCAAGAAGCTGCCAACTAACAACAGATGTTCCACATGTCACACAGCTGATGAACATGACTAAACTTCGCCAAACTGAAATAAAATTTGGAGGACATCCACTAAGATCAGCAGAGTCAGGTAAGCATTGGGACATCTAAATTATAAGCATAATATATCTATACCCCCCAAGTAAGCTATGACTTCCTCCAAAGAAGGAACTATCCATCATTCTTTTTTATCCTTAGCACTTAACATATTACTTGCCATATACCAGGCCAGGGGGCACAAATTCAACTCACTACTGAGGTCAAGAAGATAACATAAATGAATAATTTAGGCTGCTGCCTGGATATTTGATACATAGAAACATATTCTACTTCAGCAATCATTTTGTCTCAGAGATGTGGGGAGAGGGATACAGGGGAAATATGAGGTGGTACTTCAGAGAAATGGATCTTCTACTGAAGCAGTCATCAAAGTTTGCAAATATAGATTACATGGCAGTTAACACTGTGCCGCCATGTGGAGCTGTAGGGAGTAGCAGGGACTGCATCCAAAGGAAGGCTGATTCTTAGACTACAAGAAGTAGCTGCAGTGTTGCCACACCATCTTCCCAGAGGACCTGGGCATCAGAAGGTTTATAAGTTCTCTAATTTTAAAATACTGTGTAAAAGCTTTCATAAACATCCTGCTGACCAAACAAAAACATGCTAGGGCTACCAGTATTTTGCCTTCTGTAACAGCATGACTGTTGTCCACATGAGTGAGTAGCACCTACAAATCAAGAAATCTGAAGTACCACAGATCCTTGTATGTTGGAAACACCTGGAACATTTTTAAAGTACTTAATTTTAAAAAAAAAAAAATTTCCTAGCTGGGCATGGTTCAGGATATCTGTAATCCCAATACTTGGGAGGCTAAGACAGGAGGATTGAGGGTTCAAGGCCAGACTACATAGAGACCCTGTCTCAAAAAGCAAAAGAAAATTATTTTTCTGATATCTCAGTTCTGCTTCCAAAGATTCTGATAAAAGGGCATAACATTGGGTTACAATAGCCCATCCCATACTTTTCTACTAAAAATTTGTACTTTAGCGTAATAGTAGCCAGCTATATGTCTCAGTAGCTGTGCCTGGGGGATACAGGAAACAATCTTTGAGTTTACACACTTGGTACAATAAACAAAGTGTGTGCACATGTGCAAAAGTGTCAAACTAGGATTTTTACCCACATAATGTTCCATCTAACAAGTCTTGTGTATGCTTACCTGAGCACCACAGGGAGTAAAATATACCCACGCCACTCTTCTGTTATGAAAACGTGTTTTGTCATAAGGGAGTGTGGGTGTGACTCATACTAGCTTGGAAAAGTAAAGACCCATCTGTGCAGTCACCCCCTTGGCAGACAAAAAACAAAGTGTGTAGAGGAGCTCCAAAGCAGTAACAGGTAACTTTTATCCAGGAAAATGCTTGTTGCTAAATTTCTGTGCATTTAAGATTTATTTCAGAAAAAGTTATCTTTTTATTTTTGTGGTAGAAGTAGCCTAATTCAGTACAATGGCACAGGAAAAAAACATATTTGCAAATTTTGGAGGAGGTCAAAAGTGAATCATCAGATTTCTCTTGTATAGATGATGAAGATGATAATGACTTTGACATTGGCCATGTGAGCCAAAGTCCCTTGACAGTGAAATGGAAAAACACTTTGTGTTTTGAGTGACATTATAGTTGCTGCTACAACATCTGCTGTATCAATCAACTGGTATAGACATGGGGAATGTAGATCTCCTTGATTCAAATGACAAAAAAAATCAATGCGACTGCATTTTTGACTAGTCAAAATGTTGCAAAATGATCATCCAACCAAATAGAACAATCCAATGTTGAAACCAGGCCCAAGAATACAATGAAGATCTTGGCAGGGGTGAAGCTTATTGGGCAAAATGCCAGCACTACTATTCAGTGTTGGAAATTGTGACAAACAAAATGCTACAAGATGTTGTTCCACACACAAAGGCTGAAATACAGGTAAAATGTTCTGTATGCACCAATAGTCATATTCAAAATTGTATTTATTATGACACCTCACTAGCTGAACTGAAAGCATTCATAGGTCTGCTGTACTTAGCAGCGATTTCTCATGGTAATCATAGGAATGTAAAAGTCTTGTGGAAAAATGATGGGTCAATATATGGCATAAAATTTTATGCCCTTGTAGATGCAAAGACATTATGCTTTCCGTTTAGAAATTTATCCTGAAACTCAGCCACCATTTTGTTATTCATAAAACAATAAACCAAATGATGTTGTGAACAGACTTGTTCCATCTCCCAAACTAACCAGAATGCAGCATTCAACAATTGGTTTATCAGTTTCCAATTGATGTTACATTCGCTAACAGAGTACAAGTTGACCAATGTAGGAATTGTACACAGGAACAAAGTAGAAATTTCAAATGAAATGTTGAAATTTCAAAACAGAACTATATAATACAATCTTTGGATTTCAGAAAGATTTACATTTGCCTTTTATATGGCAAAGAAAAACAAACTGGTACTGCTGATGACCACATTGCACCATGATGGAACTATTGATGGGGAGACCTTGACAAATTGGAAGTCTGAGATGGAAACTTCTTACAGCAAACCAAAGACACTTCTCAAGTGCAAGGTCCTGAGTTCAACCCCTGGTACCCCCCCAAAAAAAAAACTAAAGGCATAGTAGATGTTGTTGATGAGTTATGCAGCAGCAATAATGTCACTTGAAGCACAAAGTATTGGCCAATAGTTGTGTTCTACTAGATCCTAAACGTGTGGCATAAACAGTTTGATAGTTTACAAAGAAAATAAAAACTGCAAAATTCCATGGAGAAATTCTCTTAGAAGATTGGGATTAGAACTCATAAAAGATCATTTACAGCAGAGGGAAAACAAAATATTTCTGCCCAGGGAACTACACACACACACACACACAAAAAAAAAACTGGAACACACTGCTGAGCGGACAGGTGAACAGGCAGGTGTAACATCACAAAGACCAACTATGACACCAGGAAAACCAAAAAGATATCAACTGAAAGGACAGGAAAACAAAATGTACATGCTATCAATCTAAGCAATACTTGTGTGTGGAGCATGCAATTTTCATGTGTGAAGACTGCCTTGGGTGTGACAGTTGAAGCAAAGGTTATTTCTGTGGTAGACTTTTGTTTGTATGTACATTGTGGTTCATATAGGTTTTTATTTCTAATTATTAACATTTAAGTTTTGTAAGCAAGTACACATCTGATGTGAAAATGTTGATGTCTATTCTAAGCACCCATTACCTATTTAATATTTTATTTTACTGATATCTTGTTTTCCTACTAAGTGCATGTTGTACAATACAGTAGGAAGCTCCTGACAAAACAGGAAGAGAAGAGAGGACAAGAATGGCCTGCCATGTAGGAAAAGAAGGCTAAGCACATGTGTTGTTAGTGTAAGCAGTATGTGTGTGTGTGGAACTTGCTATTTTCATGTGTGAAGACTGCCTTAGGTGTGATAATTGAAGTAAAGATTTTTTTTTTGTAGACTGATATTGGTATTTGCACTGTAGTTCATATACGATTTTTTTTTTACTTTGTAAACCAAAAAACAGTTGGTATTAAAAACTTGATGCTTTTTTATGAACACTCAATAAATATTAAAAATTCAAGACCTTTTTAATATTTTTCCTGTTAAATACCCATTGTTTAATATAATAAGATTAAAATTAATAATCCATCCATATAAATATTCTAAATAATAAACGTGGGTATTATTCACCCAAATTTATGCACCTTTATAACAAAATTTACATTAATCCCCTCTTTGGCCTTGGATGAGTTTGTCTTGTTTTGTTATGTTCTTTGGTTTTTTAACTCCTCTAGTGATTCTTATGTGTAGCCAGTGTTGAGAACCACTGGATAAGTCAGTCCCACAGAGGCCATGTGATTCAGATGACACTCATAAATACTAAAATAATTTAGAGCAAAATGATTATTGTAATAGCAGACAGTTATGAAAAAAGAAACACATCTTGAAAATACATACTGACATTTATGGAAGTATTGGATGAAGCAGAAAACTGAACAAAAACAAGGAGACAGTGAAATGTATGGATAAGGTGCCATGGAATTATTAAGATGAATGGCCTGAGTGGACAGAAGAGCTGTGTTTAGATTATGATTGGGAGCCAGGCATGGTGGTGCATGCCTGTAATCTCAGCATTCTGGGTGCTGAGGCAGGAGGAGCACAAGTTCAAACCTAACCTGGCCTATTTAGCAAATTAAGCTGCCTCGAATTAAAAAGGCCTGGAGGCCTGGGGTTGTAGCTCAGTGTGAATGACCTGGATTCAGTCCTCAGTAGGGGGCATGGAGGGTATGATTAGAGTATACCTTATGTTCCTAAAATAAAGGAATCATAGCTTCTTTTTTAAGAAGTTAAATTTGACAACAGAACTCAAGGTGAACTTTGGAATCAAAGTGAAACCAGACATTGTGGAGTACACCTGAGTATCTTTGCAGCAGTCTAGCCAGGACTGGCAGTAGCCTTGAAAGACGAAAGCGGTAGCCCTAACGAAACTGCAGGGATAAAGCTGGCAGGATCTGTGGAGTCTCAGTAAAGGGATGGGAATGAGAGAGTGATCAGAGCTTGGGTGAGATCATACTAAAATCAGGAGAAAGGAGACAACCTTGATGGAAGTTGCAAGAATGATCTCACTTTACTCTCTGTTTATCCCATGTTCATTGATCCTTAGGATATTGTCCCTTTTCACTGACATCAGTCTTCATCAGCATTCTATGTTCTAGGTCAGTGACAGTGAACTTTTTAGAGATGCGTGCCCAAACTTCCACACAAAACCCACTTACTCATCACAAAGAGCCAACACTACAGTTAAACCTGAATATGGAGGTTTTAGATTAGAAAAAACAACTCATACGTGAACATCTTTTGTCTTTAAAAAAAATAACATAAATGAGGCCTTAGGTTCGCACTGCTGCTCTAGGTTGTATTCTTTAGAGAATTGGACCTTCCGCAGTATAAACTTTGGTGGGAGACTGGTATATAAGGTACATTTCATCTCTTTATTGTGACTTTTCCAGATGTACGGAAAAGTAGAG